GTCCTTTTGCACCCCTTTAATAGTAATCCAGCTTTTACAGGTCTTGTACCACTGTTGTGCAACATGAAGACGAGAAAGGTTTTAAAAATGGCTTTCAATTCATGGAGATATAAGTGGTTCCTGAAAATTCATTCTCTTTTTACCAATCATGAAAATATTGTATGGAAGATTAGTTGATTTTATTTTTTGGATACCCGATGATTTTTATTTTTAACTTTTTTGAGATATGTGATTTATAATTTTGATCGCACATAAATGTTATAACGGGCAAATCTTAAGGCCCGAACTTATCTTATATTTGGACAAAAATCCCTAAACTATTTTTTAGACTTATAAGCCTTTTAACTACAGTATATAAATGCATCAGATCTCATAAACTAATTATTAAGTGTATTTAATATCTTAATAATGGTCAAAGTTCCAGTCACTGCACTGTTGTATTAAAAATTTTCAACCCCCTTCCCTACCTGTTAAAAAAAAAAAAAATTGCAGTATTTAATCGTTGAGGGAAATCTTAATTAACGGTTCCGCTAGTTTCGGTAAAAAATCTATTCACGGCAGTCAAAGAAAATGGTTAAATTATAGTTTAGTCCATATACTTTCAAATGTCAATCAAAATTAGTTCTTTCCCTTTTAACTGGATTTACTTAAAAAAAATTAAAAAAAGAAATAAAAAGAAAAAATAATCCTATGACAGAAAAATATACTAATTCTCATCAACACAGTTTCCATTTCTCAAGTGGCAATAAATCTGTTCAACATCATATTTCCAACACATCCCAAAATAAGCTTTTATAATGAAAAAAAAATGTCTGAAGGCAAAATAAATCTTTATTATTCAACTTGCCCTCTCTGAAAAAATTTATAGATCACAGTATATAATTAATAACAGCTCTTGAAATGTAACCAATGGGATTACTTTTCCCTAATCAAAATATTTATTAACTTAAATTATAAATATATTTATTAATTGTATTTATAAAAAAATAAAAAAAAAACAAAATTATGTTTTTAATAAATTTTATTAAAAAAATTAAAATATCAT